TCTCCGACTCAGTATAGTCTCTGTCGTATTGCCTATCATTTTAGATAGCTGTTCTTGCTCCAGGGGTATCAAACTTCCATATGAATTTTTGTACCAGCGTTACTGGCGCCATCTAATAGTTTGCCTTCCAGAAATACGAACTAAAAATCAATATGGCAGCATTTATACACAATACAAATGAGAATTTTTAAGGTCAAAACTTTAAATTGTAAATTAAAAAGGAAAAATAAATACAGTATTAATTTTGTGATCAATATTATATTTATATTTCACACAATATATACAAACTGTAAAAAACGTTGCTTACTACTACATAAATATATACATACATTATATAGATTTACAAGTTTTCCTATTTACTTTTTGTATCATACTTGTACTATTCTTTTTATATTTTACAGATATTTGTCTCGCTGCCCTGTATATATAATTTTCAGAATTAATATCAATATTTCTAAATATAATCTTATTCATAAACATACACCACGCTTTAATAAATTGCTCAGCAATAGTTATTGATAGAAATGTTTTAAAATATGCACAGTGAAATGAATATGATAAAAAACATTCGCTATCCAAAATTTTTATTAATTTTTCAGAAACTTTGGTTTCTTGACAAATATCTGTAAATTTAACTTCTGTAATTTTAAAAACATTTTGAATATTTTGTAAAAACTGTTGAGTATTGATATTATTTCTACATTGTTCACACTGTGCACTAAACTTACGGTCAATAAAGTTTGTAATTTTCTTTGGATCAATATTTATCTTATTTTCGATGGTTTGAGGTATTGCGGCTTCAGTACAATTAGTTTCTTCTTCTACATTAGCATTCTTTGTTCTTATAATCATTTCACTAAGCTCCATTATTTCAGATAAAGCTGTTCCTTCGGAAATTTCATTGCAATTTGCTCCTATCGAGTGTTTCGATGTTAAATTCCCAATTAATAAAGTTTTATATGCATCTTGAAATTGTTCGAGAGTTGGATTTGTATTAGCACATCCGTTGCTTCTGATTTGACCGAAAAAGTTTTCAAGAACATCCTGACTAAGATATCTCAAATTTAAAGATACAAATCCAGCATTTTTTAGTATATTCCATATAGCCTGCACTGCCTGAATTGTCCATCTCCAGTTAATAAGACATAGAGGAGCATTTCTTTTTAAAGGTTGACGAGTTTTTTTGTCAATATATTGCATTTTTCGAAGTTTACTGCAAGCTTGTGTCCAAAATTTTAAATGACCACTGTTAGAAGTTAATATACTGGATAGCCCTTGTCCTTGTTCACCGTTGAAAGAATCGAAGAAGTCATTGAAAAAATTAATAATATCAGAAGTTGTTGCAGCACTTTTTGATAATTCCAATTGACCTTCTTGAGTCTGGACAATTCCTGCAATAATAGCATTAAGCATAAAAATCAATGTTATTAATAATTATTAAATAACAAAATAAAGAAAAATTATAGATGTATCAGGCTCTGATGATTGTTAAAATCAATAAATTTGAAAGGAGCGTAAAGAGCCAACAGCCAGATATTTGTGCGAAGGTTATCGTGTATTAATTTATAACCATTGAACAATACATTAAAAACAAACGTTTCAGCCTGTCATCAGGCCTTTATCAATGTTATTACAAAAATCAATCAATACGCAACGCAAAAATTAAATACAAAAAACGAAGTAAATTAACATAATTAACCGATGAGTAGTTAAAACCACGTTAAACTGTAATAAAAAAGAGCCAAATGAGAAATTCCCGTTAAAAATTGAGCGCAAACAGAAAAAAGAAACAATTTTTACATACTTGTGTTAAATATAGTAGAAAGCTCATCCACACAAGATGGAACGAGGTAGGAGAAAAATCTTAGATCCATATGATATGATGGTTGAAACCTCAATGTACGTGATAGAATAACGACAAATTCAAGCGATGAAAGATTAGTGAGAGGGCGGTGGAGAAGGGGGGACGGAAAGAAAAGGAGTATGGAGGGGAGGGTATAAGTACCCAGGAGGGGAAGACAGGAATTAATATATGAAAAGAAAAACGATACAATTATAACGGGGGAAACAAATTAATAATGGGGAGATAAGAGTCCGGTAACCGTTCTGTGTCATTTTGATTGTTCAAGCCTGCACGTTGTCTTTTAATAGATACCATTTCGGATATCAATCTTTTTCCATAAGAAGGTTCTCCGTCCAGAATTCTCACATTGTCCCAGTCAAAATCGTGAGAAAAATCTAATTTATGTTTGGATATAACAGAGGGGGAACAGCTCTTTTTTATGTCATTCTTGTGTTCTTTAATTCTAGTATTAAGCTGTCTTTTTGTCTGACCCACGTAAGTTTTCTCACAATTTCGACATGATATCATGTATACAACCTGACAATGTGAAAATTTATTCAAACTGTCTTTGCCCGTCCGTATGAATTGTGTTAGATTGTTAGGAATTGAACATGATAATTTTAAATTGAAGCTTCTGGCTATGGAGTTAAAATCTTTGTAAACAGAAGGAATGTAAGGAATAGTAAAAAAAGGTTCCCCTCCTGGGTACTTATACCCTCCCCTCCATACTCCTTTTTCTTTCCGTCCCTCCCTTCTCCACCGCCCTCTCACTAATCTTTCATCGCTTGAATTTGTCGTTATTCTATCACGTACATTGAGGTTTCAACCATCATATCATATGGATCTAAGATTTTTCTCCTACCTCGTTCCATCTTGTGTGGATGAGCTTTTTACTATGTTTAACACAAGTATGTAAAAATTGTTTCTTTTTTCTGTTTGCGCTCAATTTTTAACGGGAATTTCTCATTTGGCTCTTTTTTATTACAGTTTAACGTGGTTTTAACTACTCATCGGTTAATTATGTTAATTTACTTCGTTTTTTGTATTTAATTTTTGCGTTGCGTATTGATTGATTTTTGTAATAACATTGATAAAGGCCTGATGACAGGCTGAAACGTTTGTTTTTTAATGTATTGTTTAATGGTTATAAATTAATACATGATAACCTTCGCACGAATATCTGGCTGTTGGCTCTTTACGCTCCTTTCAAATTTATTGAAAATAAAGAAACTTTAATATATTATATACAACAATAAAAAACAGGCGAATAAAAGCTAGGCACAGCATTTCTATTTTGATTAAATCACGATTGAAAATATTTTTATGCTTTTTTGGCGCTTTTATTCGTTTTTTATTATTGAATTTTATTAAACAAGTATATCACAAATATACTTTTGATAGCTTATTATCACAATACAAATAATATAATTTAAAAAATATAAATCATCTGTAGTAAATATTAATTTTTTTATACTTTACCATCACATAAATTTAAGATGATATCCATAACATTTCCAACAGTTTTACTTAAAATTTGAGTAGCGTATTTCACTTTCATTTTAGGTATTATTTCGGGAATAATATGCCTGTTTGTTATTTTTGGCATTAAACGATTTTTTAATAAAGATTGTTTATCAATTTCATAAATTTGAATAATATGATCCCAACTTGCATACTTTTCAGTTTTGCGATTATCGTTAATGTCCGTGTCCAAATCTTTTGTTAAAAGATTATTCCTTATTCCTTTGAGTAAATGAACATAATCATATATAGGAACTATTTCTTGATTTTGTATTATAAAACTGTTTTCTGAAATGCAAAGTTATTATTTTACAATTAATATTTAGTTACTTAAATCAACAAAATTTGAACTAATTATATGAGAAATTTACTTGTTTGTAAAGCTTTTGTTGTGCGAATTTTATTACTTTCATTTACCAAAAATTTTATTGCAGCGACATTTGAACTACTTTGGTCGCATATTGTAGCGATAGGTATTAACTCAGATGCAATGATTTTCATTAGCCATTTCTTAATACAGCATACTAGCTAAAATGTTTTTGTGTTACTGTTACAGAACCCATATCCTAAGGGTATCTTATTTCCTGATTTTAAACTTCGTAAATAAAAAGTTATAGCATGATCTGCAATTTTTCGGGTTCTTTTCATTTCCCAATCCTCAAATCCAATAATTTTATCCTCTGTTTTATTGTATGACAAAAAAGGTTGCAAAGACATCTCATCCCAGATAAGAGCAACATATTTTTCTCTTTCATCTTTAAAATTTTTAGCTACTTCTTTTAAATATTTCACTATTAATTGTGTGCATCCACTTTTTAAAGGAATATTTGCTAGTTGTGAATATAAAGTTGTCATAGATGGACAAAGAAGATATTTAGATAAGAAATTATAGGACGAACGAGATCTTTTAAATATACCAAGACAAATAATTTATTTTCTAAAGTATATCGTCGTGCCTATAACATATAATTAGACAAAAAATAAGACATGATACAAAAAATGTATGTCCAATGATCTGT